GGGTAGGTAGGTAGGTAGGTAGGTAGATAGATAGATAGATAGATAGATAGATAGATAGATAGATAGATGATAGACAAACAGAGATGGAGGGAGGGGTGGAGGGATGGAGGGAAGAGAGAGAGAGAGAGAGAGAATGAGAATTGACAGGCAGGCAGGCAGACAGAAAAAAATTTTTTAATTCAGTACTTTCCAGCAACCCCAATCATTTGAGAACTATTCAGCAGGGCCAGAAGGATTATCCCTGACTTTCTTTCAAGCTGAGCTCAGCCCCTGGTATCCACATAGATACTACTTTCTCCCATAATAGATTTTGTCTTCCCAATTTAGCCCACAGCCCTGTGAGTTCCCAATGGCTTCCTTCCAAGTAGAAACCTGCTTAGCTTTTCTTAAGGTCAACCAGATACTGCCACCTGCTATGATCTTTCCCAGTTGCCTTAGCAAGAAAATGGCCAATAAACTGAAGCAGCCGCTCCCTGGAGTTCTGCCTTCAACCTGGCAACAGGGACATCTGTGTCCCAGTATTACTTTTTAATCATATCTCTAATTTAAATAGCTTGACTTCAAATTTCTTCCGTGCAAATACATCCACCGTCCAGTGAATCAAATTTCAGTAAAAGCATAAGTGCGTCTCCCAAATCTTGAGTTAACTTTTTAAAAGTTTAGTTCCACTATGCAATCGATTAAATTACCAGTAGAGTTACAGTAAACTTTTAAAGAAAGTTTAAATGCATTATTGCCTACAACTCTTCTAGTTGTTAGATTTTAAGTTACCCGTGTTTTACATATAGCTTGGTTCCTCCCCAATATCGTTCTGAATTAAAAAGTATTTAATTTTCTTAGCTGCAGAAAGCTAAAGACATTTTGACAATAATTTTGCTGCCATAAACGTCTCTGAGTTTGGCTGGATTTCTTAGTCCCTTGAGATCTGCCAGAGTCAACCCAGAAATGGTAAACAAGGCAGTACTGTAAGCTCAGGAACGAAGGGGAGAAAACTATAACACATTTCATTGTGACACAATGCAAGAAAGAAGGTAAATGATGCCTGGAAGAGGTGACTTCAAAATATTCTCATTAATAGGTTTGGACTTGGCACCAACAGAAAAGCCAGAAAATACCCTTTGTTATAAGTAACTGAGCTTTGAAATTCACACCGTGGGGTGATAAAGACAGAAAATATCAGAATCTTTTGGCTGTCTTCAATAAATCCACCAGGATTTCTGACTCTTAATAATTAAATGCAGAAAAAAAATAACATTTGTCCTTTTGCCCACCCTAAGATGAAGAACACGCCGAGTAAACATGGCTAGATTTTTATATGAATACTTTGAGGTTAGCATGCAGAACAAATTTCTGAACTGAGAATGCTAAGTCTCAGTAAGGATTAACTAGTAAGTTTCTGGGTTGGGAATCTAAGGATTTTAGTATAATAGCAGCCTAACCACAACTACATACATGTGTTCAGATATAGGATCGCTGGTTCAAATCTCACCAATTTACAAAAGTGGCCTTACTTAGATAAGTCATTATCTCTGTTTCTAATATCTTGCATTTAGTTGATGCAGAGTATATGTGGCCCACTCCCTTTAATGAGTGTCAACACATGAGAAGTCTTATTGAGCATTTCCAATTGTTTTATAAAGGTAGTTTATTCTCCTGCTTCTTAAATAAATTTATAGCTTGGAAAGGCTATTGCTTATCTCATATTTATCTATTCTACTAAAAAAAAAATCAGCTCCATCAGACTTTTCCCTTCTTCAAATGCCACCCAGCATCATTTATTGGTGCACAAAAGTGCATTAAGAGTTTTCAGTCATATACCTACTCTCCCCAAAATTTCCAGCCTGCTGCTTTAGAAACTGTGATTACCTTTTAGGAAGGATTACCTGAGTTTCCGCCCCAAACCACCTAATTTTTCCTCCTCTTCCCTCCGCAACCTTTTTTTTTTTTTTCCTTTAATGTTGTGTCATTCAGCATGGAACACATACAGAGGTGTCCTTTTCAAGGGCCAGAGGTAAGCCAATTTCGACATTTCTTTGGCTGGAGAGTAAGATAAGATACTGTCCATAGATAAAGAACACCATAAATACCAGCGTTCTATAGGTACTTCCAAGTAAATATTGAGGCTGGTCAGTGAGCATTATTCAAATAATATTCAGGACTATTTGAGGGTTACTTACTGGGCAGTCCCCATCAGGATAATTGTCAGGGATGTAGATTGTAAACTTAAACACACCGTCCTGATATAGTCCGTGTCTTATAAATATGACTCCAAACCACACTATTCAAAAAAATAAGCAAAAAGAAACAGAAGAAAAGAAAATGAGCCACTGAAATAACCTCGTATGGGAGGAAAAATAGAGCAGGACCGTCAGACTTACTTAATGCAGACTGATAAGAAGGCTGCACATAGACTCCTGGCAGCTTCTGCTTCACAACCAAAGTACTGAAATAAAAGACACAATTAGAAACGCTTTTCAACTGCACCTTGGTGAGAACAAAGCCACCACTGACCTCTTCCTTGAATTAAGACATTTCTTCCTCAGAGCCAAAGGCCAAAGCTCTGCTCATCTGCCACAGCAAATCTAGAGCAGTCTTTCTCAACGGTTGGCAATGTGAAGAGGGATGGACTTCAACTCCCAGAACTTCCAACTTCCCCATGGCTGGTTGGGGAATTCTGGGAGTTGAAGTCTACACCTCTTCAAATTGCCAAGGTTGAGAAAGACCGCTGCAGGGTACACAGAGGGCACTATTAACCAGGATATACTTTAAACCAAGGGCCTTCAAACTTGGCAAGTTTAAGACTTGTGGACTTCAACTCCCAGAATTCCTGAGCTAACATGAGTGGAGGAGGAATTCTGGGAGTTGAAGTTCACAAGTCTTAAAGCTGTCAAGTTGGAAGACCCCTGCTTTAAACATTGGGGACCCAGTTACCCAAAGCATTAACTGAGATAGCTGGTAGAACCTCACCAGCTTTGAGGACTCGCAAAGTGAGCCTGTAAGACAGGTGTGCCAAGAAAGTGAGAAGGACAGCCAGGAAATAAGAGATGAAAATCACAGCAAAGGAAAATAAAGCTATGTTTTTCCAGAAGCATGCAGGCTTGCTGAAGCCTGCCTGCTAACCAGGATCTGCTTCAAACTGATCTATTTGTTAAAATGAACTTTTGTAACCCCTTTGGCCTGATACAGAAGGATGACATGATATTTCTGATCTTTTTAGAAACTTTTGGGAGCGTATTACATCATGTAATCCTGTTGCAGCTGGGAGAAGAAGGGCGCCCAATGCTTTCTTGACAAGGAAGGGCATGTGTGAGAACAAGAACAAGAGGGAGTTGTGTTCCCAGCACAGTGGCAGAATCTGACCCAGCCATCGAGTTAACAGAAGCAGGGGTGGCATTTTGCCAGACCAAGGAGATGAAAAGATTTCATAAATCAAGATTCTGATTAGCTAAAATGCACATCTGTTAAAACTGAACAAAGCCAGTAGAGAAAGTGAGCTTTCTCACTGACTGTAGCACCAGCAAGGCCTGCGTTAATTCACATTTAAACAGGTCTATTCACAATTTTCAGAAGGGTTAATAAGAGTCTTAACTAAGCCAAGAATACACTGACATGGAAATAAATTTCTTAAATGGGTCGATTTGCTGTCCTTTTGAGCCAACAACGGGCAGCAACAAAGACACAACAAAAGCAGAGGACACCCTTCATCTAGTTTGTTTTATCCGACGGCCCATTTTACAATAAACTTATTTATAAAAAAACATAATAGGGGTTTATGTCAAGGGAAATGCACCAGTGGTGGGATTCAATTTTTTTTACTACCAATTCTGTGGGCGTGGCTTGGTGGGCGTGGCAGGGGAAGGATACTGCAAAATCCCCCTTCCCTCCCCACCTCACTAACCTGTTTTCCAGCTCTGTTCTCCTGTGCAGGGCAACCAAAGAAGACCCAGCCGATCAGCTGGGACTCAATGGGAGGCAGAGAAGAGGTGGGATTGGCCGGTTCTACGAACTACTCAAAATTTCTGCTACTGGTTCTCCAGAACGGGTCAGAACCTGCTGAATGCCACCTCTGAAATGCATCCCTTCATTCATAACCTATTCAGAAATTGCTTTTCAGTAGGGGTTGGCACTGGTGCTGATCAATTTCTTCTCTTTTTCAATCACATACTTAGGATACAGATTAGCAGATAATCGAAGAAAAGAACTGGATTTTATTTTACTTAATTATTTATAAGAGCTTTTCCCCGATATGATCACACACACCCTCAACTCCTGGAAAAGATATTAATTCTGAGCCACTCCAACCATTCCCCGTGCTGGCTTGAATTCTGGAAGTTAAAATCTAACACCTGGAAGAACAGATGAAGGGAATTTGCTATACATCTTTTCCAACAAGACCTCTTTGAAATTGACATCATCCCGCTGGATGCTAAAGAGAGCTTGTTGTGATTCAAGTTGTATGTTGCCAACTCTCAAAACAATCCGGGGCAGCCTTACCTAAACTAGGAACTCTCCTGCAACCCTTCCAACAGAACTGAGGGCGGAACAGTGAGATCTGATCCAGATTTGACCTGCCCAGGACACGCTCTCTCTCTCTCTCATTTGCCTTGTTGCATGTCAACGTATTTTGTGATCACAAAGCAGAATGCAAACTAGAGATTCAACCTCATGATATCCCACTGCATCTTAAGGGCAACCATGACAAGTTTTCCTTGGCCCATCTTGAATCTCCCTTACAAAAGATGGCAGTATTATAAATCGCTGATCTATCAGATCGCTGGCTTTTCGAGAATTCCGTGGAAATCTGGCAACTCTCCAGAAACCTGCCCATCAACTCCCGGAAGAAGATCAAAACCTCGGGGGAAATTGCCCCGAATCCCCTACTATTAAAGCCAATGACAAGACATACTATTCTGCCAGCAGGGAATATTCCAAATAGAAAGGTCCATAGGAGGCATGGGTTCCGTTTGTAGACTGGGCTGACAGGGCAGGAGAAGCAGGCTTGGTCATCGGCATGACATTTTTGGGAACGGAAGGCAGCTGTTTCTTGGGAGCGGCGCGCGGAGGACTGGTCTTCAGCTCGCCAAGCAGAGCTTTTTCTTCCGTTTCCGGTTTCTGCAGGAAGGCCAAACAAGAAAAGTCGAATTCCAGCTGCAAAGAATATAATTCAACCCCACTCCCGTATCAATTAAGCAGATTTGCATCCGGCTAGTCCCAACGACTCAATTCACTGAACGTTGCTAGGCACAAACCAACTATGGCCAAATATAGATTGTCGTTAGCTAAACAAGACACCCAAGCCTACTTATCACTATCAACCTATCTGCTTTTGCCAGATCCTTTTTTAAAACTCTTGGCTAAGTTCTAAAGGATGGGAGAAGCCCACAAAAGCAACTTCTCCTTTGAAGAAAAGGATGTCCAGGAAGGTCATTCTGGAATTATAGGACTGAAGAGTCTACTTTTTTAAAAAAAAATGCTTTCTACTTAATTACACAGGAATTAGTTTTTAAAATGACTGAAGTTTATAGTTCAGAACATGCGAAAAATAAAATAAAATAAAGAGGAATGAAGAGCAGATAAGTTACCTTGCGTGTAGAACTTGCAGACATGCTCCAGAAAGGGTTCATAACGTGTAGCCCAAAACACCAGGTGGAATTGTACTATACTTCCCAAGCGTCCAACTTTCTACAGTTACTTTCCAACCTGAAAACATGAAAGTGAAGTTAGTGACTCAGTTCCCACTGCTCTGCTCAAGAGAGATGTTTAAGTCTCCGATATTTCACCCAGAAGGAAGCTCATATTCTATGAAATATGAATTAATAGAACTAAGCTAGCTTTCTCAGCAAACCCATATTCCTAATTCCCTTTTTGGGGGAAATGTAACAAATATGGTGGAATCAAGGTTGCTTGCTGGAGAAAATTGGCACATTAAGGAGGGATGCTTGCAACAGCCTGGAACAGGAGATAAGACATAAAGTCAAGGAGGTAAGCCATGGTTATAAGTCAAGGACCACCTGTATGTAACACTACAGTGAAAGTGCGATCGGTAGCCAATGCGTATTTCACCAGTGTGTTCCTTTTCGTGGATGTCTTTCAGAATTGCTTCCCATCATTTAAAAAATAAATAATAAGAGCTACACTGAAAGATTCAGAGAAATCCCAGATGTGCTTAAGCCACAGGCTGGCATGCTTAGCTGATGCTTCCCTGCATGGATCACAGAAAGCTCCATTTATAAAATGTTAGAAAATAAGGTATCAGAATGGCAAAAATGCTATAAGGATTTTGCTTACAGGATGACTACTCAACACTCAACACTCAACACCCGCACAGTCACTAACATCTTCATTTCTGAAACCAGATTCCAGCAGATTTGGTGGAGGCTAATCTTTTGTTGTTGTCGTTAAGGCATTCTTAAATTATCTTGAATAACGAAGAAATAAATGTGGTTTTCCCCTCCCTCTCCCTGGAATGCGTTTTGTGCTGTTCAGAAACCACAGGCACAATACCATTTTCAGGGAACGTGATCTCACCTAAAGGGCAGGTAAAACAAAAAATAGGCCAGCCAAGGAACCAACAGCAGGTTAGACTTGTCTGCCCACCCCGTTGTAAATGCCAGCACACCTTTTTTTCTGAACACCTAATGACTTCCTGCAGTTCCTATTCCCACTGAAAGGCTGTGGGTACTTTTGTGCCTCCATCCTCAAGTTTTCCAATTGAGAAACAAGGACACGCCCAATATACTTCAACCAAATTTCTGACTGCCGCACAAAATAGATGCAGAAATGTGTTGGATGAAGCCGCCCTGCCCGGATACAGAGTTCAGGTTTTCACAAATAGATAAATCCCAGGAGGGAAATTGACAGAGAAGAAAGGAAAGAGTTCAGAAACAGGAGGGGGGAAAATATATTGTAAAAGAGAGAAAGAGAGAGAGAGAGACCCAGAACTACAGATTTAGGATTAGGATTAAACACTAGAGAGCTTATTCTTATATCCAAGAAAATTCCTTGCATTGTTTTTCCTCTGGTTCCTTTCTTCCTGTCCAGAAGGCCTACCGAGTCATATACAATTTCAGGGGCAGCCAAGAACTAGCAAGGGCCTTCCAGAAGAATCCGGAGAAGCCGTCATAAACATGTTTAGTTAAGAAATCGGGAAGTGATTTAAGGAAAGCCGGACAAGGCCAAATTCCAAAGATCTACTTGGTTTTCCGCTGCAACCCACCAGATGCCTCCATGAAATTCACCGCTAGAAAATAAGGACAACTGTTCTGAGCTTTATATGATCCTGCCACCTCTACCTTCCCAAAAGATGTATGCTCAAGTTAAATCCATTTCTACATGCATAATTCTTCTGTTGGCTGCAGGGAGTTTTACAAGAAACTGCAACCAGAAAAAAGTAGTTTACGTACAATGCTTAAGGAGGAATCTTTACCCTTCATTTTCTTTCTTTCTTTTTTCTTTCTTTCGCTCTCTCCCTTAATTTTTTCTTCTTTCTGTCCTTCTTTCTTTCTCCTTCCCTTCCCTCTTTCTTCCCCTCCTTTTCTCTCGTTTCCTCTTTCTCCTTTCCTTCAGTCCCCTTCCCTTCCTTCTCTCTCTCTCTCTCTTTCTCTCTCAATACAGATAATCCTCAATTTACAATGGCTTGTTTAGTGACCGTTCAAGGCAGAGATGGGATTCAGCAGGTTCTGACCAGTTCTGGAGAACCGGTAGCGGAAATTTTGAATAGTTCAGAGAACCGGCCAATCCCACCTCTGACTGGCCCCGCCCCCTCTATTCTCTGCCTCCGGTTGAGTCCCAGCTGATTGGCTGGGTCTTCTTTGGTTGCCCTGCACAGGAGAACGGAGCTGGAAAGCAGGTAAGAGCCCACCTCACAGGGTTGTTTGCTAGGGTGAGTGAGTTGGGAAGCCCTGTACATTTTCTTAATAAATAAAAAGTAATTTAGAAAGTGGGTAAAAATATAACACCTCACAGGTGGAAAAAA